AATCTAAAACGCAATTGGGGGGGGGGGGGGGCTTTCAAATATTGTGTTGGAAAAATGAGAGGGCTTGGAGTCAAAACGTTTGGGAAACCCTGCTGATGGTTTCATTTAAATTTCATTAACTAATAGTTTCAAGTTTGGAGAACAGCTAACAGTCCCTCTTAAAGCGGTTTTAACTCTTATACAAGTCTCTAAATGTTCAGAAATATGTTTTCTAATTGCATGTATTTTCTTAAAGCTTTAAAAGCAACAAACACTGAAACGTAAAAAGAACCAGTCAAACTTCGACCAGTTTTGTGGGAACATTTTAATTTATTAAACAAGACAGGAGCTCAGCCCAGTTTAGTAGCCAGCTCCTTGGCCTTTGCCTTCTCGATTTTAGCAATGCGAGCAGTTGACTTGTGACCCAGGACGTTGCCTCCCCAGTGACGACGGATCTGAAGAGGGAATGGAAGCGGGAGAAACAAATTATTGTTTGTTTGTGATTTAACATCATGCGAGCTACCTTGGCTATATTCATGGTGAGAACGAGGATAAGTTTTTAAATGTGATCTTAGATAAAAATTCTGAAACTAAATCTGGTCTTACTTCATTAAAAATCTTTCCACAAAAGCCAACAGAAAAATAATGAGTTCTGACAGACTTTAAACTATTACAATCCATCAAAATATGCTTCAAAGATAATGGATTCTGGCATAAAGAACATAAAGGAGGATCTTCACCCGCCAACAGAAAACTATGGGTTAGTCTGGAATGTCCTATTCGACAGCTAGTGTAGACAATATGATCCCATCGATTTTCAAAGTGGGCACAACATTTTACGAGAAACAAATTATAAAAAAAATGGCATTACATTTAGACATCATTTAGGAGACTAAACTAAATTAGCAAAGGCTAATTGAAACGCCATCAAATTGTAAAACGATAAATCAATAGTTTATTATCAGAACTGATAACTGACCTCCTCGTATCTGTCATTGTAGTTGGTCTTGATGGCCTCCACCAGTTTAGCAAGAGCTGCTTTGTCTTCGCTGAAGATGGGAGGAAAAAACAAACGTTAACCACAAAGGTCTTGTGTCCATGATGCCCAAATCATTAATCAACTGCAAATCATTTTGCTCAGGGTTAAAAAGCTCATTTGAAACCACATGGTTGTTCAGTTGAAGAAATTCAGACATCATAGCCATAGGAAGTGCAGCGCAGGAAAGTGAAACACGAGTGTGTGTGTGTTACTCACGGGTTGGTCTGTGTGAAGGCAACACAGGTGCAGGTCTTTCTGTGCACCAGTTTGCCCAGTCTGGCCTTGCCCTTGACGATGCAGTACGGGACTCCCATCTTACGGCACAGAGCAGGCAAGAACACCACCAGCTACAAACAGAATTAAATCAAATCAATTATGCATCGACATCCATCCCCACATTCAGCAGTCTAACAAAACTACACAAATCAAAAGCCAAAACAACTCTGAAAATAATCATTACAGAAATACTTCTGCGAGACATAAGTGGTTGTTGCTCAGGGTTAAAAAGCTCGTATTTTTGATCTTCAGTTTGAATTCAGGTGAAGAAATTCAAGACATCACTGCAGACAACCACAACATGATTTATGACTAGATGTATATATCCAGTAGAAAAACTCACCTCAATGGGATCCACATCGTGAGCAATAACGACCAGCTGTGCCTTCTTGCTCTCCACTAGTGTGGTCACTGTGTTCACACCTGAGAATGAACAAAAGTGTTAAACAGATATTAAAGCCACATGATATACAGCAGTTTTGCTCAACCAGGGCCCGGTGACCACTAGGGGGCTTTATCAAACTTCCAAGGGCTCCCCATTAAAATGACTTGTTAATCTCAATTAAAATGCTAATAACTCTGTTTAATTTTATTACAACATAAGTACCAAAGGTACATATCAGCTTAGATAAGAGGGTCATCAGATATCGTCCTGGACAAAAGATGGGCCTTAAGAGTCAAAAAGGTTGAGAACAATGGAGAATGCAACTCGTAACTCCAGAAAGAGTTGGACCTTTCAGTGTCTTCAAAGAAAAGAGACTCTTTAAAAAGACCCACCTGCACGGAGGACTGGTGGCCTCTTAGTGGGCACGTCTCCCTTTCCAGCAGCCTTCTGTTCAGCACGAGCCAGCAGTCTCTGTTTCTTCTCCTGCTTGGTCTCGGGCCTGTACTTGTGGGCCAGCTTGAACAGCTGGGTAGCTACAGAATGAATTTAAAGAGTTAACACTTTGGTGAAAACTTGGGTTATTGGTAATTTTACAGTACAGTTCAAGTTGAATTTTAAACAGCAATAATGTGTGTATAAAACAGTGCATCAGTGATCTTGGTGGAAATTGTCAGCATTGACTATTCAGATAGCAAATATTCTTTCACATCATCTGCACATTCGCAAAAGTCTAAAAAGCATTTAGAGGTCGACCAATATATTGTTTTCAATGATTGAGGCTTATATTTGCTTTGTGGAATTAATGGCAAAACACAACTGTATTTAATTCCTCTGCGAGACATACAATAATATCATGGTTAAGTCATTATTGTTAATTTTCTAATTAATTACAGCACTATCTTACATCAAGCAACTTTTCGTTCATATTATTGACTTAAAACAATTGTCGATTAATTGGTTATTGATAAAATCCACTATCCGCCAACCTCTACAAGCATCGTTGTATGAACAACAGCAGAAAGATGTAGGAGACTCCAGTCAAGCAAATAACTCACCGGTCTGGCGGTCCAGAGCCTGGGTGAACTGGTTGATCGCAGGGGGAACCTTCAGACGCTTGTAGAGGATGGCCCGCTGGCGTTGCAACCGGACGTAACGTGGCCATTTCACGAATCGGGTCAGATCCCGCTTCGGCTGGATGTCCTGACCTGAAGATTAAAGTGCATGACTTTCATTAGCATTAGGGTCAACAAACTGTCAGTTGCTTTCAAGACATATGTGCATCAGCGATCTTGGTGGAAGATTGTCTGCATTGCTGTTAAGATAGCAAATATTTATAACATCATCTGCACTTATTTGACAGCTACACTTTAAATGACTGACCTCATCTGTGGTCCAGTTGTTACTCACCAATGCCAAAGTTCTTGGGCCTCTTCTCAAACAGGGGATTCACGACTTTCTTGGCCTCATGCTTCTTGGCTACTGAAGGGGCTGGTGCCACCTTCTTCCCCTTAGCCTTTTTCCCCTTAGGCTGTGAAGAGAAGCACAATACTTGAGCTCATCAACCAAAATGAGCAGAAACTTCAAGAGAAATACCATTTTGCGGCTTTTGCTCAGTTTAAAAAAAAATGCGTTCCCCCCAAATACTAGTCAAAACACACCAACTTAAGATGTGACATGCGTTGTAGCAACTTTACCACTTTAGCATCCAAGAGATACACGCGTACCCAAACAACATTGCACTTTCACTAATCATACTTGGCAGATTTTTAATTGACCAACAGGTGTATAATAGTGTAAAATACAGCAGCACTTGCGTATTTAATAAGCACCACTGGGCCGATCGGATTCATTTTTGGCCTACAAACCAGTCCGCTAACAGGGTAGCATTCGCGTTGGAGCCCGCGGTTAAGGTTTCTCATAATAATAAACATGTTATTAAAAACAGATCAACAGTCAAGCGAGTCCGCATTGAAACTACGGATAATAACGTTCAACGGCTTACGGTCTAACGGCGACACAACTCGAGGCGTCAGTGCCGACAGTAACCGACCACTACACAGCTCACATTCTTCTTCCAAATCCTTAAAATGCTCGCAATTTTCACTCAGAGAGCAAGCGTTGGTGCTTTAGTTCCAATAACCGATATTTTATGAGTCAGAGAACACACTACAAAACTGGATGCTAAAGGATTTTAAGAAAGTAGCGGCTTCCCAGTCAAAACCGTCGGACACTCACCATGTTGGTTCAGACGGAAAGGAAGAAGAAAAGGACTGTGGGAAATATAATTACCGCGATGACATCATTTGTACGCGACAGAACAAATGAGGGAGGCTCGTGTTTATTTGAAGAGATGTTAAAAGAATGTGTGCAGCTGTGAGTAGCGAGTTTAATTGCTTTTAAGTTATAGCAACTACAACGTTTTTTTTACTTCATTAATTATTCATGCGTGGTGTATGGTAACAGAAACCTGCACGCGCTGTTTAGTTTCACCATCTGAGGAAAACAAAAACAAAATGTCGAATGTTGACGGCAAGTGCATTGACTTGTGTTGTGTTTTCGCTTTTATGCGTTTCTTAAAATAGACATTTTCACAGATAGACAAGCATTAAAAAAGCTGCGTCGCCATCACGAACTGCATTTGTGTAGTCAATGGCCTTATAAATATGCAAATAAAAACGGGGTTTACAAATAAATGTGTAGTGTGAAATGTGAAAGCTGACTCCCTAGGATTAATTACTACTATACACTTTAAAGTATCAACCAGTATTAAACCACTATTAATAAATAGTGATAATTAATATTGTAATAATTTTAAGATAATAAATCTTTTAAAAAAACTGGCTGCAGTTATGTTGTGGAAATGTAACAATGGCTGTTTATTATATGTATTTAGTAGCGGTTAGTGTGAACCAATTGCAATTCTAACAGTAATGTCATGTTTCTGATCCTTTAGCACTGAATCAAGTCTGACTGAAGAGCGCTGAGATGGCCACACAGAGAGTCCTCCCGCAAAGCAAAGAAACTCTTCTGCAGAACTACAACAAGAGACTTAAAGATGACATCAGGTCAATTCTAGACAATTTTACGGAAATAATCAAAACAGCAAAGGTATGTTGGTATGCATTTTGCTGTGTGACGTTCATATCAATATGATTTAGTTATGAGACATTGGGATTATAATCTGGTCATCTGATCTATCAGGTGGAAGAAGAGACTCAGGTTTCCAGAGCGACGCAAGCTGAGCAGGACCACTATGAAATGCACGTGCGAGCTGCCAACATTGTAAGATCTACAGTGATAGTACGATAATAAATAGGCATATCAGACTGGGATGATATTTACATGTGTAATATGTTTTAGGTACGCGCTGGAGAGTCTCTCATGAAGCTTGTCTCAGACCTGAAGCAGTTCCTCATCCTGAATGACTTCCCCTCTGTCAACGAGGCCATCAGTCTCCGCAACCAGCAGCTGCGCACGCTGCAGGAAGAGTGCGACAAGAAGCTCATCTCCCTACGTGATGAGATTGCCATTGACCTGTATGAGCTTGAGGAAGAGTATTACTCCTCCAGGTACAAATAGACCAGTGTTCCCAAAACGTGTGCAGTCACCTCTGCCTTCCCTTGCTTACCAAAGCCATAAATTTGATATGTACATCATAAGAACATAACACAGGGTGATTCATGGAGCTAAAGGCATTTTTAACTTGCACAACCAATTATTGGCTCCAACGGTTTTCATTTTGCTAAAATATCATGTGCTAACCATGTTGTTTTGCTATTTGTTTGATTACACCATCCCAGTTTGGTCCTCCATACACATAATCATATCATACCATTGTGCCTTAAAGGGTTAGTTCACTCAAAAATGAAAATTAGCCCATAAATTACTCACCCTCAAGTCATCCTAGGTGTATATGACTTTCTTCTTTCAGACAAATCCAGTCGGAGTTATATTAAAAATTGTCTTTGATCTTTCAAGCTGTTTCATGGCACTCAGCGGATGTTGCATGCATCAGTCCAAAAGCACTTAATTAAAATGCGCCCATCCATAAAAAAAAAGTGTCTCACACAGCTCCGGGGGGTGAACAAAGGCCTCCTGTAGCGAATCGATGCGTTTTTGTAAGAAAAATATCCATATTCAAAACGTAATAATCACTTAAATGTAGCTTGCGCCAACAGTCCTACACGGAAGCAGCTCTGGGCGGATGACGTATGAGGTCGGCTTTGCGCATGCGCTGCTCAGAAGTGACGCACACGGAAACGCAGGGGAGAGATCAAAACAAAACAGCGGTCACTAATTAGAAGTACAAAACGAGGATTTGTAAAGAAGAATGTCGGAGGATTTCGATATAAGCCAAGAGGAGACTGGTTTTCCTTTGCTAAAGTAAGGAAACTTTGCTTCCTTTGCTCCTGTTAACAAAGGATGACTTGAGGGTGAGTAATTTATGGGCTAATTTTCATTTTTGGGTGAACTAACTCTTTAATAAGAGTGTTCATTCTTGCAGGTAAGACTGTAACTAATGAAAGAATACATTCTCTTTTGACCCAGCTCAGTCACATAGTAAGACTCAATTACAAATTAGATACAGTAGGCCCTTGGGTTTTATTCCACTTGTCATATTTATAACAAGCCAGACATCATATATTTTTCTGCTATGCTTCTAGTATGGCAAATATATAGCAAAATCCATATATCCGTATAGTCATATCCATCCATATTGTAGTCATGCCAAAGACAATATCAAGCACTTTCAGTATAACTGGTTTTGCACAAGAAAACCCATCTGTTATACAAATTGAAGTGCATGTAAATATTTTCCCCCAGGTGCCTCAAACGATTATGTTTTAGAATATTTACTTGCAATCAGGAATCAGGATGTGTATTTAGTCTCATTAGTGGTGCTGTTTGGAGTGAATTTTTATAGAGATTAGTATAGGATGATAAATCTGGATCTTTAGTGCTATGCAGAGATTTTAAATTAATTCAAGCTGTCTTTGAAGCACACCAGTGTAAACGTGAATAGTTATATGTGAAGAGACATTTTGGAAATAATTATGGAAATAATTTTATACATTTTTACAGTTTTTAAGAAAAATGTAGATGTGAATTTAAATTTGAAATTGGATTGGGCACATTAATTTTGGAAGAGAAAGGAAAACTTGAAATCGCATCATATGACCCCTTTAATCAACGTTGGGCTGCAAAATTCAAAGCACTTTAGAATTTGTAAAAAGTAATATATGGTGCTGTACGTATGGTAAAAATTACTTTAAGAATCATTAATGAGCTTACTGGAAGAAATATGTTTCATACTCTTTTTGTTGTTGTTGAGATTTTCACTGTATATTCATAAATGCAGTGATTTTTTTTTCTCTGTTAAACTAATTGAAGTTTGTGAAAACTGGGAAAATATTTTAGCTTTCAGAGGCCATATGTGTCATGTTCAAAATGTAATATTTATAATTTTTGGAGTTTTTGATTTCCTCAGTGGTTGGAAATTGCACTACGCTTTGTTTCTTTGTGGTGACATATTTAGCAGACACAGTGTTGGTCACATTAGTACCTGTTGAAAATGTGTAAGAATATTTGTCAGTTTTTTCACAAATCCACTGGTCATTTCAAATTTCATAAATAAACCCGAGAGGAACTAGAGCACATTTAGTGTCTGATCTATTATTTGCTCACCTCTGATTTGGAATTTTTATTTTCTGCCTCTGCTGAGTGCATACTCTAAATTCTCTGCTGCTTACAGCCTTTTGCTTTTCATCTGTTGAGCAATTATATTATTAGAGACTACACACATCTGTTCAATGCAAAGAAAAACAGCAAACAGAAGAATAATGCCATGTGACCACACGGTTCCATTCATGTCAGTAGCAATCCTGAAATAATGCTTTTCACAGCTTCTTTCCTTGCTTGTGCTTTCTTTCCCTGTTCATTCATATGTTGTGTGAGTTTGTTTCTGTAATGAGTGAATGAATGTGCAACGTCATTCATTCATACTCCTAATGGCTTTTTGGGTGTTTTAGGCAGAAGTGGACAGAAGAAATGTTAGTTTGTGTGTAACGTGTGTGTGTGTGTGTGTGTGTGTGTATAATGTTTCTAGCTGTGGACAGTGGGATGGTGTTGAGTTGCCACTTTGTGAGGCCTTTCATCGGCAGGACAGTTGGGGGTCCCCTGAGATGACCTCTGACCCCTCACGTGCCAACCCAGAGGATTCAGACAACTTGGGGTTGCAGGAGTCCATGCAGCGTCACCTCAACAGCCACGGCAGCAGCACTAGTGAGCAGTCATGAAATACTGGTAACTTCCTTCATGGACCAGTTAGATTACACAGCTAAGCAATTTACCATCATAATAAGCCCCATCTTAAACCACCAGCTGCAGACTGCAAATCTAAACAATTACTTGAATTGATGATGTGATTTTGTCCTGCAAATATGATACTGAATTAATGCTGAGAACTACTGTAGTTGGGTAACATGCTACAGTGGTATAATGAAGTGTTTGCCTTTCTATCTGTATATAGCTAAGTTTAATGTCTCTGAGTGATATTACAACTATGCTACACTTTATTTTCATTATTGTTCTTCAAAAAACTACAACTTGTTTAGGCAAGTGGTGTTTTGGATGCTAAAAAAAAAAGAACACCACTCTGTAAACATGCTGCATACATTTCGGAGTAAAATGTATTAAGATACATTAAGTTCAATTAAAAGATCAAATTCGATATATAGTTATTATTTAATGTACTACAAGGCAAACAGATGGCTATGAACACAATGCGCAAACTTTCACTTGTCCTCCCATACAGCAAAACGCTTAATGTGGCATAATAACGGATGATAAAGACAATTCAGTAGCCTATATGTCTTGTTGTTGACTCAAAGTATATACAGAACAGCAAATATGAACGTGCATTTTGAAATGCATTAAGTGATTTTAAAAGGATCAACTCCGTACAGACAAGCAGACGAGCCCAGAACGCAATGCGTTAAATTGCACGTTAAAAATTTTCCTCCTATAGAGAATGAGGAGTTACGTCACGATCTTTTCGCTCCGCATTGCATTTCGGGAAGGAGCCGCCATATTAGCAGGATACGCTATCCGTTCCCATGGTTACTTCTCATTCTCTATAAGGATAAATGCTTATCTTTTGTTTTGTTTTTGCCTTTAAGTTAAACAACCATTCATTCTTCATTGTATCGTTTGCAGGGAAGAGAAGCTATTTTATCGCACTGCATGATATGCACTGCATTTCTCTCTTAGGTTTTGTAGAATTTGGTTTACAGTGTTTACCCGATTAGCGTGAAAACAGTGTCGCCCGCTGGACGCTCGCAACACGCACGATTTGTGTCGATTGCAAGTGACGTCGCAGGTAGCGGAGAGTGCAAGTGGCGATTGCAAGTGACATTATAATTTAGTTTCTTTTGTCTTGTCTTCATCACCTGGCTACTGTTGTAAAATGTTGAGCGATTCAAACAAAAAGAATAAATAAATAGAACAAAATAAAAAAAATAAAAGACTGCAAGTGACGTCGCTAGCGGAAGTGCAAGTGTCTGAGAGTGCAAGCCTGAGAATGCACGTCTGAGAGTGCAAGCGCCAAGCTGCAGCCAGACCCTTTTGAAAAACCCAGATCAGACGAAAAGTGATCTTTTGCTTTCATTTACTGAGCCAGTTTCTCTGTCAATGATGAATGAATGAATGCATGAATGAATTAAAAAAGGTCTGATATGAATGACATAAATAAATAAATAAATTTAAATAGGTCCTTTGTGGCATCTTCTCCTGATAACACCGAAATGAACTTAAATTACAAAAGTGTGTGTTCAACAAGCTGACAGAAGTCGATCCATTTCTTTGTTGGAAACTTTTAAATGACAAAGTATAAGTGTTGTCATTATAAATATGAATTTTTCCATGGCCACGAAGGAGAATCACAGATTGTGGGTCACATTCAGCGAAGAGTCACGAACTCACTGTACTTTTTATATTTATTTCAACAAATGGGAAAGCTTATTTATTCAGCTTGTATAAATCTCAATTTAAAAAAATTGACCCTTATGACTGGTTTTGTGGTCCAGGGTCACATTTATCGAAGAAGATACAAGAAACATTGTACATAGGACAATGATGCCTTAGTCCCCTTCAAAGGTGATTTTAGTTTTGGGAAAAGTCACAAGGTGCTAAATCTGTGCTGTAGGGGGCTGAGTCACCTGGGTGATTTGATGTTTCAGCAAAAAACTACACGAGATGTGACGCACAGGTGGGCACATTGTCATGATGGAATTGCCAATCACCGGTTGCCCATAGCTACGGCTGTTTTCATCATATTGCATCTCTCATCTCGTATTTTTAATTTTACATGGCTGGATACTTTCCGAACAACCTATTTTATTGCTGTGCTACCTTAGCACAACCTTTCCATTTTAGATTGGTAAAAGACATCCAAGCGAAAACTTAAGGAAAGGTAACGTTGTAACTCTAATAGAGATTATAATATTACTCTTATTTCATTAGCAAAGTCTGTAGAATAAAAATAACCTTTACTAAAACAATGAAGTTTGATTAATATAAAGTCAATTGATCAGCTGTATGATATGGCAGTTAGGAGGAAAGCTTTGGTCCTAAGTGGAGATATAACACACCCTCTGAACTATGCCTTTGAATTGTTACCATCTGGGTGCCGTTATAGGACACTGAAGGCAACTAAAGCAATATATAAACAAACGTTTAAGCCAAGTGCAATAAGTCTCTTGAACAAAGGGTAGGACTGCATTGTTTTTAGGAGGGATAAATGTATTAAGTATTTATTTGATGTGATATGTTAATTGTATTCAGAATCAGAATGAGCTTTATTGCCAGGTATGTTTACACATAATGGCGTCTTTCAGCCAGGTTTCCGTGAAACACAGAGCAGCAGAGTTTGAAAAATCCTTATTTGTCCGGGAGAGCAGAAGGAGTTCGTCCGTTTTGTTGGGTAGAGAGTGGAGGTTCGCCAGATGGATACTAGGCAACGGCGTCCTGAATCCGCGCTGCCTGAGCTTCACGAGCGCGCCGGCTCTCTTCTCCTGTCTGCGCGTCCTGAAGCATTTGATCAGCGCCGCAGCTCCCCCGACTACAATGTCCAGCAAAACATCAGAATAGTCGAAAACCGGTGAAATATCGGGTGGTGTGTACTTCCGAAACTGATTGCAGGGATATAACTAAAGACAGGACAAACTAACAAAAACATAAAAACAACTGCGGAGCACGCCACGGAGGCAGCCATCAGCATCGGCGCCATCTTCGATCGTATTGTTATTGTTGAATGTTAAGCGAGACCAAAGACTAATTTTCAGCCAAGGAAACTGAAACACATTATAATGCATTAACATGCTGCACGGTACATTAAAATGAAACCAACATGTTCTTCTGCTTTATAAAGTTTGCAAAGATAACCAATGTTTTGGGGGAAGATTTCTTGTAAGATGTTTATGACTGTATGCAAGCTATGAAGACATTTTTAAATACAGTAAAAAATATTTAAATTTCTCATTTTACAGAAAAAAATTGTCCATTCAGGTGACTGTAGCAAAGGTGGAGGGTTAGTATCGTCGGTTCATCTTCTTGAATTTCTCATAGTGGTAGTCATCTGTGGCCTTCTCGTTATTAGGCCTCTTGCGGTAATTGGGTGGTGAAGCTGGAGAACGAGAAGAGATGTAAACACAAAACACATTAATATAAATCCAACAAATGCAGATCTATGTGTTATTTAAGCAAAACATGATATTGTTATGATCTTACCCTCAGGCGCAGGGTTCTCAGTGTCTCCTACTCGTAGTGGCCTGGCTTTGGGTTCTTCTCTGTGCCGTCTCTGGGGAGCGTTTACATCCTCATGATAGACTTGAAGGAACAAATACAGAAAATGACTTAATCGTTGTCCTTTAGGGAAGGATAGCAAATATTTCAAATATTGAAATCATTTCACTTGTAATGAGTAAGCAACTGAATATGAATAGTCCTTGGTTAGTAAACTCCAAACCTAAAGGTTATGCAGAGATAGAGCTGTAACTCATAAAATGTTTGGATTAAATGCAGATGTAATTGATAACCTTGATGAAAAACAAATACTACTTCTGAATATAAAATACATAGAGGTTACTGATTCTTTAGAAAGATAAGAAAATAAATAATTGTGTGAAGACAAGCGTATCGATGTACGAGCACTAAGCACATGACCTTAAAATACAAAAAGCTGGTTGGTCAGATATTTGTGTGCACTTACAGCGATTATGCTGGACGTAATTTACTGCAATGTTAGTGGGAACAAAGGAGGTCCTGCTGTCCTTCTTTTTATTCCTCTGCTCAGCAAGCAGCTTTGCTTTGGCTTCTTCTGTGCTGATGATGTTCTTTATCTTTGCACTGATAAGAAAGTAGAAAAAAAAGGTTTTGATGCTGACATCCATAGCTAGGTGGACTAGAGAAAAATCTCAGATGTGATCAAAGGAAAATGTCTTTGAATTAGTTCTGGTCTTTACTTACTCTATCCCCAGATCCACCTCTGGAATTCCACTCAGCATTTGATTGGACAACATCTCCTCTGTCTTTTTGGCAGAATTGACACGGATGCTCTCTGGAAGCTCGTACAGGAGGTCCTCTGGATTCTTCACCTTCACTTTCTGCTCTTCCGCCTCCACCATGCCTTTCTTTTTCTTTAATTCGGTCTCAATGTACTTCATCCTGAATGAAATAGCATATAAGGAGAGAGAGAGAAATAATATAAAGAATGGAGGCAAAAAACAAAACAAAAACAAAACCCAAAACCATCATGTAGAAAGACAAAGAATACAGATGGTTTGCGCGCACACATATGCACTTACATGTCTGCATCTTCATCTCGTCTGTTAGTCTCAGCAGAAAAGGAGGTACCGAGATTCAGGTCGTTTTCATCTGCTGTCCTGTAGTGGAGAGAAAATGTTCATTATTTCACTTATAAAATACAGAAACATCAACTTTAAATGAACAGCAAACATGACTCCATAATACCACTTGCATGTCTCGATTTCTATCTTTCACTTTCTTCATGTCAACAACACCTCCAGTCTTCAGTTTAAACGGGTCGTCCTAATGCACAAAACAGGGAGTGGCAATATTGTACCCATTAAATCATACATTTACTGTAACAATGCAAGACCTTCATTGTAATACAAAATGTAGTTTGCTTTAAAAAAAAAAAACCTGCCTCAAGCTCAGACTCCAAAGGAAGCTTCTCTCCTACAAGTAACGTTGCAATGCTGGAGGAACACAATGGAAAGCAGCATATATTATTTCGAATTTTAATCAAACATAATTGAATGGACAAATTATTTTAAAGTCCCCCTGTAGTGAAAATCAAGTTTTTTATGTTGTTTATTTGTCTATGTTGTGTTTTTAATATGCGTTTAGACAAACCATGTGCCAGTCCCATACTATATGCACAACTCATATACAACCATTTTACTGCAGCATTTTTGAGATATGGGACTATATGGTGATTTAGAGGGCTATAAAGTCCCCATTTCTAATAAGTAGAAAAAACAATGGTTAGTTCCTATAAGTGACGCCCCATACTATATGCACAACTCATATAAAAACATTTTACTGCAGCATTTTTGATATATGGAACCATATGGCGCTTTAGAGGGCTATAAAGTCCCCATTTCTAATAAGTAGAAAAAAACAATGGTCAGTTCCTATACGGGACGTCCCATACTATATGCACTCCTCATATGAAATCATTTTACTGCAGCATTTTTGATATATGGAACCATATGGCGCTTTAGAGGGCTATAAAGTCCCCATTTCTAATAAGTAGAAAAAAACAATGGTCAGTTCCTATACGGGACGTCCCATACTATATGCACTCCTCATATGAAATCATTTTACTGCAGCATTTTTGAGATATGGGATCATATGGCATTTTAGAGGGCTATAAAGGCCCATTTCTAATAAGTAGAAAAACCAATGGTCAGTTCTTATACGGGACGTCCAATACTATATGCACACCTAATACAAAACCATTTTACTGAAGTGTTTTTGAGATATGGCACATTATTCTTGACGTCCCATACTATATGCACACCTCATACGAAACCATTTTACTGCAGCATTTTTGAGATATGGGACCATATGGCTCTTTAGAGGGCTATAAAGACCCCGTTTCTAATAAGTAGAAAAAAATCAATGGTCAGTTCTTATACGGGACATGATGGTTTCATATGAGGTGTGCATATAGTATGGGACGTCACGTATAAGAACTGACCATTGGTTTTTCTACTTATTAGAAATGGGGACTTTGTAGCCCTCTAAAATGCCATATGATCCCATATCTCAAAAATGCTGCAGTAAAATGGTTTCGTATGAGGTGTGCATATAGTATGGGACGTCACGTATAAGAACTGACCATTCGTATAGTAAATGAGGCAAGGGTGTAGAGTTGCATTCAAGCTATTTTAAGGCATGAGAAAATTATTTTCACAAGAAAAAACATTTAAATATGTCATTTTGATGATCAAAGATACGTTTTAAGGGATAAAATATTTGACCACAGGGGGACTTTAAATAGTTAATTAAAACTTGGAAATTAAACAATGCAAAAAATAAGACTTGTGCAAACGTGTAAGACTGTCATATTGGTACAAAAATAAATAGCATTGTAAACAGACGTGTAACCAACCTTACTCCATGCTGCCTTTTTCGTAAACTTTGAAGCTCCTTGGCTTCATCCAGTTTGGACCTTAGAAAACATGTTTACATTTAACATTTTTAAATATATTCTCACACATGAACAGGCGTCTGCATGTGGCCTCTGAATGACTTTGACACTTAAACCTCACATAAATATTTTTTCTACAGTCATGTTCGGTTACTCTATTTGGCCTTAATATGATAAACATATCTACCTGACCACGGCTTTTGTCTCAGCATCTTCCTCGTCAGATGAATCCTCCTTCCTCCTCCTAAAATTTTTACCTGGGGGCATGATTTAAAAAAACGTCGAATTGTTGAATGTTTATCCCTTCACACGATCGTACGCAACGTCGGCGGCCTGTGTTTAGCGGCGGACCGCTTTCCTCACATTTCCCGAAACTTCCGCTGACGTCACAATCTCGGCATTAACAGCTGATCTGAGATCAGCTCGTCTTTTTTCCATACGAACGTTTAACGGTGTAAAGCGACTAATTGGGAATGAAGAGGCTGGTTCAAGATCAGCTACCGCTATGACAATGAAAAAAAAAACGAAGTAAAAATAATAACAAAACAATTTAAAACAACAACTCCTAAAACAAATAGCATGTAAACTGTATTGGTTTAAGTTAATTAAAAATCGTTTTTGATCAGATGAAAAAAGCTGAAAGCAGTCATTGGCTCTGGTCAAAGCTGTGACGCACACTCATACTGTATTCAGTATGGATGCTGCTTAGTACACTGCTACCCACCACTGTTACAAATACCACCTATTGGCCTAAAATGATCATCTATGAGCGTTATTTTTGTTTCTGTCTGACAGGTAAATGTTTGTTCTTATCTTTCCTTCGGCTGAAGCGGAGTGTCACTATTTATTTGCTAAGATACCATCATGTCGACTCAGCGTCTGAATAGTGTCTTGCAGCCCGAGTGGAAATATGGCATCTTGAAAAACTCAGTTTTTGAGCTTTTGGGTGGTTGACGATGACATGTAGAGGAACTGTAGTGTGATGATAAACAAGAAAAACACCGGAGATGCAGAAAGACTGATTGTTTCGTTTTGAGATATTGTTTTTAAATTCAGAGGAATAGTGAGGCCAATTCATAATATAATTGTTTTCCCCTTTCTTTTAGGATTTCTGTTAGAGCTACTTTTCGTATGGAAAAACAAATGAATACATCTTTATGATGCATTATTGTGCATTTCTTCATTGTAACAATAGACGAGGTGAAATTGGGTGAATGCATCCTTCTCAGTCGTGTTAGGCGCATGAAACAGCATTTTTGGGCTCCAGAGAGTTTCAGGCACGGACTCACAGCTACTCACATCTAGATATATCACCCTTAGTTTGATTCTTTTTTCTTCTTTCATTTATTATTATTATTATTTTTTTTTTTTAAATAATGCATTCAATGATGGCAATTTTTCTCCTTGACGCTGATACTGAGTCTGTAAGTACATTAGAAGGTTATACTTAAAGGACGAGTTATACAAAAAATATGATTATTTTTCGTATAGAATGAAAGTGAATGGTGACTGAGTTAATTTTTATTTTTGTTCACTACGGAAAAAAGAAAGTCATAGGATTTTTAAAGCAGCATTTGTTCAGTGTCTATTGTATTGATGCTGTGTAGAGCTGTACTAGTAGGTCTCAAAATGTTCTTTGTGTATTGTAATAGAGTGAGGTGAAAATCAAGATGACTGACAATGGGGATCTTTGTCCTCACTTGGACTCTATTGGTGAAGTTACTAAGGAGGAACTGATTCAGAAATCAAAGGTTAGAATCGCTTTTGCTAATATTTAAGTCTTAAATGTGTTATGAGTGCTGTTTGTTGAATTATCACATTGTATTTACTCAAGGGCACATGTCAGTCATGTGGAGTTGGTGGACCCAACCTCTGGGCATGTCTACAGGTGGGGAGCCTTTTCCCTAGCAAACATGTTAGATAAGTAGAATGAATTTTTAGGCCCGAAACATTTCTTTACATTCATAATAATTACTCTCTTTGTCCTGCTTTCCCCACAGTGTGACTGTCCCTATGTAGGCTGTGGAGAATCATATTCTGATCACAGTACTATACATGCACAGGTGACATTCTTATTCATTCAGTTATTCAGTCCATTCTCTGGCATGCGTTCTGTTCAGTTATTATGCATATCAGTTTCTCTTATTCTTTTATACATGTGTGCATCTTTTATTTTTTTTCCAGGCCAAAAAACACAATCTGACAGTAAACTTGACCACATTCAGGGTGTGGTGTTATGTATGTGAGAGGGAGGTGTTTCTGGAACCAAAGCCTGTTACTCCTGTATCATTAGCTCACTGCTGCAAACCACATGAACAGGTAAAGTCATCAGACTGTTTGAAACACCTCACAGAAATGTGCACTTTTAGCTTTTTAAGATTATGTAAACATGATTAATATATGGTACTTCTTGTTTGAGGTTGGCTGTGTCTCCTGTATTATTAATATCAGTCTGAAGATCGAATTTAGCCACAATAAATAATGAAGTACAAGAATGATACAAGAAAGATAATTCTATTGTTTTTCATCCCCAAAGGATCCTCTTCCCCAGACAACATGTTACCCGTTAAAAGTAGTGCCTATCGCAGTGGCAGATGAGGAAGGCTCAGAATCTGAGGAGGATGAGCTCAAACCTAGAGGTATAATTTTGTTAACAGGAAGCTAGTACACATTGCATGGCATTTCAAATCCTCAAAATAGCTATGACACCCACCTAGACATTGAGAGGGAAACATACACTACCGTTCAAAATATTAAGATTTTTTTTAACGTGTTCAAAAGAAGTCTCTTGTGCTCACCAAGACTGCATTTATTTGATTGAAAAACAAATTTAAGTAAAAACAGCAATATTTTGAAATATTATTACAATCCAAATGACCATTTTCTATTTTAATATATTGTAAAAATGCAGTTTATTTCTGTGATGGCAAAGCTGAATTTTCTGATTCGGTGTTCAAGAAACATTTGAAACTCAAGAAACAGATTTGGCTCTTAAGAAACATTTCTTACTATTGTCAGTGTTGAAAAATTTTGTGGAAACCATGATACTTTCTCAGGATGTTTTTGATGAATATAAAGTTCAAAAGAACAGCATTTATGCATCCTTGCGGAGTAGAAGTATTGATTTCTTAAAAAAAATTAACTGACCCCAAATATTCACAGTAGTTGTCAGTCAGTATGGATTTTTCAAATGACCTTTTCAGTAACTTGTATATTTACTAACAGATGGCTATCATGTCCTGCTTATACAACATTTTAAAGGAGCGGATTGAATAATGTCTATATGAATGAATAACCAGTCAATTACTTTTTCTGTTCTCTTAATATGAGAAGGCGTAATGGAAGTATGTAAGCCAAATTAAATTGGATCTTATTGACATTAGTTATGCGTAATGACTAAGATTCTGTTCCACACTCCAAAGTTGTAGGCGAGTGTTGGCATTTCTCATTATACTCTTTATTCTGCTTAATACTCTACACTTTCTCAGGTCTCACAGGGATGAAGAACATTGGGAACTCCTGTTACATGAATGCTGCACTGCAGGCCCTGTCCAATTGGTGAGTTCACAACTTGTGAAGCATAAATAAGCATAATTCAGACAACACAAATTGGAAGCGTGACTGATTCCACTGATTTATGTTTTAGGTCTGTGCATCCTGCTTCTGAAATTGATATTGGTTTTCCTGTTTCTTTGTCTTTTTCTCTCCAGTCCTCCTTTGACTCAGTTTTTCCTGGATTGCAGTGGGTTGGTCCGTACGGATAAGAAGCCGGCGTTGTGTAAAAGCTATCAGAAGCTTATCTCTGAGCTCTGGCACAAGAAACGGTAACAAGCACTGACTTGCCAAACCGTTAACCTAGACCTGGCAAACTAGCAAACTTAATCTTAAAGGCCGGGACACACCAAGCCGACTTCAAAGAACTAGTGGCGACTAAACTGCCGCCGACGTGAGCCCGACGAGTGGAACACACCAAACAAACTAGGCCGACCGTCGCTTGCCGTTGGCCCGACGTTGGCCAACGGCTGACCGTCGGCTTGGTGTGTCCCGGCCTTAAAGGAGTAGTTCACTTCCAGAATAAAAGTTTCCTGATAATTTACTCACCCCCATGTCATCCAAGATATTCATGTCTTTCTGTTTTCAGTCGCAAAGAAATTAAGGTTTTTGAGGAAAACATTCCAGGATTTTTCTCCATATGATGGACTTCAATTGTGGCTTTAATATATTGAACTTGGTACTAATTATATGAATCTTATTGTTTTCTGTTGGTTTCTTTTTGGCTCTGTCAAGGCCAAGTTATGTTGTGCCCACTAGTCTGTTTCATGGAATCAAACTGGTGAACCCCATGTTTCGTGGCTATGCTCAACAGGTATATGAGTTATTTTAGTATTATTTATATACTATTATAGTAATTATTAATATTTTAAAATAGTTTTTAATTTTACATATAAGTTTTAGTAATCTTGTTAGGTGCTTTTGTCATTTTTAATAGTTTTTGTTTTTTAATATATTTCAATTTTAGTTTTAATAATTTTACTTCGACATAAACATAAGATTTTGTTATAAACAGTTGCCAAGTTAACATTTCTCATTTTCTTTTTTTAAGTGTAAGTTTTTTGTCTAACATTTATATTTTATTTCAGCTTTATTTCAAATGACAAAAGCAATTTTTAATTGGTTTAGATTTAGTTAACAGTAACAACACTGATATGAAGATTACAATGCAGCCTTTCAAGACTGTAATATTATCATATAAGCCCCATAGTATTTTTGTAAAGTACACACTCCTTGCTTCCTTGCCGTCTTTTTTAGGACACTCAGGAGTTTTTGCGATGTCTGATGGACCAACTTCATGAGGAGCTGAAGGAGCCTTTGAACGACTGCAGCGGTGCAATCTCAGATGTCCTGCCTGACCACAACCTCGACAACCGTAATCATGTCGATGGAGACCGAAGCCCCTCTGAGGATGAGTTCCTGTCGTGTGACTCTGGATCAGGAAGCGAGAGAGGAGATGGAGAGAGGGCAGGAGGAGAAGCAGAGCTGCTCATCCAAGACGAATGTGTGAGAGTGAGAGGAAATGGAGGAATCTCGGAGAAAGAGAGGCTGAAGGAGAGAAGAGGAGAAGAGAAGACACGGGAAATGGATGAGGATGCAGATGTGGACACGGCTGCACAAGAGGGACAGGCAGAGAGAGAAACAGAGCCAACAACTGCAACCACAACTGTGCCGGCACCAGGAAATATAGGTATGAGGTTCTTATATCATAAAGTTTGGGGTCTCCAAGATTTTTTTTATGTGTGTGTGTGTGTGTTTTTTAAAGAATTCTCCAATTCTGAAAAATACAGTAAAAACAGTAATATTATGAAATATGATTACAATTTAAAATAGCTGTTTTCTATTTAAATAAAAAAAAATCTATTAATGTGACGGAGAAGCTGCATTTTCAGCTGCCGTTACTCCAGTCTTTAGTGTCACAATCACATGATCCTTCAGAAATGAAAAATGCCTTCAGTTGTGCTGTTTAATATTTTTGTGGAAACCATTATCCTTTTTTTTAGGATTCTTTAATGAAAAGAACAGCTGTTATTTAAAATAGAAATCTTATTTAATAATGTAATAACCTTTTTTTGTCCATCTTTACTGCATGAAAGTGTTAATCTTACTCACTCCAAACTTTTGAACGGTAGTGTAGTATGTTTAGTAGTTTTTGAATGTGAATATAATTCTTAAAAAAAAAAAAAGAACCTTCTCACTTCCTGATCCCACTTTTCTTGCAGAACCTGATCATGAAGCTTCCATGCATTGTCCGTCCTCTCGTCCCTGTAGCCCCACTCGCAGTGTGCAAGAACTCCACTCCAGACTCTCCAGCAGCCCACCTAGATCCAGCCCCCTCAGAGCTGGACCCACTTATACAGTCAAGAGAGGTTTGCTTCTCTCATATAAATACAAATAAATACAAAATAGTTGTAAAAAAAAAAGAAGAAGTTTTTATTTGTATTTTGCTTTGCACTAAATAAACGTCATGATTGTTTGTCCTATAGCTCAGATTCTCCTGAGCACCAAGAAGAAGAAGCAGTCCCGTTTCCGCAGTGTTATTTCAGATATCTTTGATGGATCCATTCTGAGTCTTGTTCAGTGTTTGACATGTGACCGGGTGAGGAAAGGATGCAAGGAGTTTTTCTGTCTCTAGAGGGCACCAAGCATCAAATCACTTTCATTACACTTAAAAATGTATTAAAAACGGCAGGATAGTCTGTCATGCACAATGTAGTTTCCGAGGAGCTCCACTTCCAATTCAAATCACGTCTAGAAGAATACTGCAAGACATAGCTGCACAAACAAACTGTATTCATATCACATAAAGCAAATGTTATGTAACTGTAGAAGCAATGTTTCAAAGAAAATATCTGCCTTTGCAGGTTTCAACAACTGTGGAGACCTTTCAGGACCTGTCTTTGCCTATTCCGGGTAAAGAGGATTTGGCCAAACTCCATTCCTCCATCCACCAGAGTGCTCCTGTTAAAGCTGGTGTCTGCACGGATGGCTATGCTGCCCAGGGCTGGATCTCCTACATCATGGAATCTATACGAAGGTATAGTGAGAGAGTGATGGGGCAGAAAATGATCAAGATGTGGAAAGTGCAAAATAGGGCTTTGACAATTATTTCCACTACAGTTCAAAAATGTGGGGTTAGAAAGATTGAAAGAAGTCTCTTGTGCTCACTAAGGCTATGTTTATTTAATCAAATATGCAGTAAAACCTTATTAAATATTATTACAATGTACAATTAGTATTATTTTAATATATTTGAAAATGGTATTTACACTTGTGATGGCAAAGCTGCATTTTCAGCAGCCATTACACCAGTTTTCAGTGTCAGATGATCCTTCAGAATTCATTCTAATTTTCTAATTTGGTCAATATTTTTGTGAAAAGCAGCATATCAATATTTTTGTGGTAACCTTGATACAATTTTTCAGGATTATTTGATGAATAGAATGTTTAAAATAACTTTCTTTACTGTCACTTTTGAACAGTAGTGTGAAAAAGCTGAATGTAAGACAATGTAATTGCCATGAAAACAAACACTGATCTTTTAATATAAACGTATGTGTTTATGCAGGTTTGTAGTGTCCTGTATTCCGAGTTGGTTTTGGGGCCCAATGGTAATGCTGGAGGACTGCCTGGCAGCCTTCTTTGCTGCTGATGAGCTGAAAGGTTAGGACATCATGTTTGTCATTTCTGAATGTGCAATTGCAATTATGAATGAGATAAGAGGGGAAAAACTTATATTGCTTTTTCAACATTGTTGTACTGCTTGTCAACCCTTGGTTGATATTTATTTTCTTTGCACCAAACAGGAGACAACATGTACAGCTGTGAACGATGTAAAAAGTAAGATTTCTTGGTGGAAAAAAAGACTGAAATGTGTGTGATCAAGATGAAATAATGTAGTGGTTACTATGCTGTTTAAATATTTTGTAGTCTAATCTAAATCGTACTTAGGGTTTTACAGCCAAAATCATACTGTAGCTGTTAGGTTTAAATGTTTAAATGATGAAACAAGCTCATTTAATCTACCTGTTTCCCAGATTGAGAAATGGTGTGAAATATTGTAAAGTTCTGCGTGTGCCAGAAGTAAGTAACCCCCTCCATTTCAATCTGCTCATTTACTGGATTGCTACATTTACTTTTCAACAGAACTTGTATTCCTGTTGAGTTTGTGTGTAATCTCCTTTTCAGATATTGTGCATTCACCTGAAGCGTTTCAGGCATGAAGTCATGTACTCATTCAAGATAAATAGCCACGTGTCATTCCCATTGGAGGGTTTGGATCTTAAGCCCTTCTTGGCTAAGGAGAGCCCATCTCAGATTACTACCTATGACCTACTGTCTGTCATCTGTCATCACGGCACTGCTGGGAGTAAGTTACTTCTGTGTAATATTGCGAAATTAGGAGCTTTGAGATTTTGAAATGTGAACTTGCATTTATTAATCACTGGCGCTTTTCCCAGATGACAATTAAGACATTATTTTGTGTATAGTTTTAATTGAGTGAAATAATATGTTTTTTTCCCCCTGTTGGACAGGTGGTCACTACATTGCGTACTGTCAGAATGTGATCAATGGACAGTGGTACGAATTTGACGATCAGTATGTAACAGAAGTGCATGAGACGGTAGTGCAGAACGCTGAAGCGTATGTTCTCTTCTACAGGTACACTTAATTTTTGACCTTGTAATGGTTGTTACAGGGGTCATGAACTGAGAAATCAAAATATCCTTGATGTTTTGACATATAAGAGGTCACTGTACTATAAAAACATCCTGAAAGTTTCTGAACTGCTTATATTGCGGTTAAAAAAAAAACGCTTATATTGAAGCCAGTCTGCCAAAACGACATTGTGGAATGTGCCGCTCTATGATGTAATAGTGTGGCTAAACTCCGCCTCCGCAGAAGAGGATCAATGCCCACTTCTACATCACTGCCTGTTTAGCCCCGCCTACCGATTCACACATGTAGTGTATAACGAGAGGCAAATGCAGGTCTATGCAGAAACCGAAAGATAAAGATGGCTCCGAAGACAACAAGATGCTGTGTAGTGCCAAGCTGTGGAAAAACTCAGAACAAAGGCAGTTCATAACCCCTTTAATAGTGCACTCAGTAATGTTTTTCCTTATTAAAGTTATGGTAATTCATGCTTTTATGATGAAGATGTTATAACTAATTTTTCCCATCATTCTTCCCGGTCATTTAGTCTGATTAAACCCTGCCCCTTTTCTTACAATCCCAAGCTTTCAATCAGATGTGCCTCAGTCCTAACCAAGTTCCACCCTACATGCACTCAGATGTACATCGTAATACAGAAGAAAAGATCTGTCACACCTTTAAACTGTTTTACCCATAATGAAATGAATAGTTATTTTGAAAAGTATGAGTAAAACGATGTACACTCACATGAACGAAGATACCAGTTATATCAGTAGCCTAATAAAAAACTTTTTTTATTCTACATGAAGTGGGTTGCCCCTTCATGGAAGCATGACATGACTACCTGTGCATCATAACAAACCACCAGCAAAACACAGAAACTCATTGGGATTGATTCCAACAAGAATGTCTATTATATTGATATTATTCTTATGACGGGGAGTTTGTCAATTTCTCTTTCAGGAAGAGCAGTGAAGAATCTGTGAGAGAGAGACAGAAGGTTGTCGCTCTGGCTAATTTAAAGGAGCCCAGTCTGCTGCAGTTCTACATCTCCAGAGAATGGCTCAACAAGTTCAACACATTCACTGAGCCCAGCCCCATCACCAACCACACTTTCCTCTGTCAACATGGAGGTACAATCACACACAAATACTCTCATGTATATCTAAAACTCCTACACACTGGTCCATTTCAAATGGATTTAGGTAAATAACTGAAATATTAATTAACTTTGCCACTATAATGACAATCACATATTTTTTTACTCTCGACTGTGATTTACTGTGTTAGTATGAAGAGCTGAATGCGAGAACAAATTGACTTTAGTGAGTAAGTTAAAGGGGTCATATGATGTTGCTAAAAATAATATTATTTTGTGTATTTGGTGTAATGAAATGTGTTTATGCGGTTTAAGGTTCAAAAAACATTATTTTCCACATACTCTACATTATTGTTTCTCCTCTATGCCCCGCCTTTCTGAAACGCGTCGATTTTTACAAAGCTCATCGGTCTGAAAAGCGAGGTGTGCTCTGATTGGCCAGCTATCCAGTGCGTTGTGATTGGCCGAACACCTCAAGCGTGTGACGGAAATGTTACGCCCCTTACCATACAGTGATGCCCTGTCCGGCCGGAGCGACGAGACAAAAACATTAAAACCTATCATAAACGAGGCATTTGTTGCATACAGTGGGGACATAATTACGGATTATAATGACTTGTACTGTCTTTTTACGCGTTGCATCGCGCCGCGTAAACATAAAACCATGTCTGCATTTGTGATCGGAGAAACGACAAACAACAAGCCCTACTCTACACCGCCCAAAA